GCATAGCCCAACTAGGTATGTTAGATACATTGTTGTAACTTTTAAATCATATACATAACCCAACTAGGTATGTTAGATATATTGTTGTAACTTTTAAATCATATACATAACCCAACTAGGTATGTTAGATACATTGTTGTAACTTTTAAATCATATACATAACCCAACTAGGTATGTTAGATACATCGTTGTAACTTTTAAATCATATACATAACCCAACTAGGTATGTTACATATATTGTTGTAATTTTGTTCTTTCATTTGCAGCATCTTTCAAATTATCTGGGGAAAATAGTTAACGACGAGAAGAAATTAATTTATTCTACAAGCTTGAACATTTGTACCCTGTCGTAAGTTATTGTAGGCCTGCGTTACAAATGACGTTCAAACCTCTCAACAATAGTAGGAATAAAGTAAAATTAACTTACTTGTAGAAGGTAAATCAACAGACACTGATCCAAATACTGACTGATTCAACTCTATCTTGAAATAATATCTATCTTTTTGATACTGCATGTAACTTTGTATGTATAGTCTGCTTTCGAATATACTAGAAAGCTTTACGTCCCATCATTAACATTTTCTAGGCCTATCTTATTAAACTCTTTTTGATTTTAACATCACCATTAATGAAGGACACATAGTTTCCTCTAGTTAACCTCTAAACTACAACATTGAAAAATTATAGCTTATAACAAATCCTGAACGTTTCGTTAAACTGTTGTATTTACTATCCTGAAGGTTTCGTTAAACTGTTGTATTTACCATCTTGAATAATGACTTATCATAAAATGTTTTATTTACAACAACATCTGACTATATATCGATTAAAAACGTTTCATCATGAAGTCCGCCGATGAGACAACGGTAAGTATATGTACTTACAACGCTAAAATTCCGGCTTAGATTCCTCGATGTGACTTTGGCCAAATGTCCCCCAGTGATACAGTGGTAAGCCTATAAACTTATAACGCTAAAAACCGGGTTTCGATACTCATAGTGGGCACAGCACCATTGTGTAGCTTTGTGTTTAACTACAAACAAATAACAAAAAATTCACCATACATAAAGTAGCGAGCGATGTGCAAACAAAATTTTCGGCATTCTACGTGAATCAGCTGATTTAGTCCTTGACATCATCAAAGAAACTGGATATAAAAACCGAAACTTCAGAGCTCTTAATATTACTTTTAGCAAACCAAAGGTCGGGTGTTACAAAGTCCACATAATGGGACGTGTAGAGCCACTTTTAGTGGTCCACAACAACCAGGTTCTTTCGTAAACAAAAAATGAAAGAACTTTATAAGATAAAAATAAAAACACGAGGTAATGATTTTAACAGGATAATTATTTCGTTATTACGGTCTGGATTAATTATATTATAATGTAATATAATTGTTAATTAAAATAAAAAGAAAAAGGAACAAATGGTGGTGTGGCTAATCTCAGTCAGTCCTGGATAACGTGCTACAGTATACATATATATATCTATCCTGAAGGTTTCGTTAAACTGTTGTATTTACCATCCTGAAGGTTTCGTTAAACTGTTGTATTTACCATCCTGAACGTTTCGTTAAACTGTTGTATTTAGCTTAAATACAACAGTTTAAC